AGAGGATTTAGACATGGCTCAATTTAGTCCCTGAAAATCCAGGATCCTTTCTTTCTGAGACAGGGTCTTGCTGTATAACCCAGGTTGGCCTTGAACTCCTGACCCTTCTGCCTCAGCCTCTCCAGTGCTGAGGTTATAAGTATGTGTTACCTGTATCAGGTTCTAAATATATATTTTCTGACACAATGTTTTCTGCAATACAAAGTATTTAAAATCCATCCATTTGACTGAACTATGTACTGGAAAAATTACTTTGTGTCTAAATGCTACAGGTACTATAACTATTGTCAAACTGATAACTTGTTATTTTTCTCATGGCTACCGAATAACTCAAAAACCTTTGCTCAGTGGTTAAGAACACTGGCTAGTCTTGCAGAAGACCTGGATTCAAATCCTAGCACCCACATGGCGGCTAAGAACAATCTGTAACTACAGTTCCAGGGGATCCAACACCCTCAACTGTCCTCCACAGGCATTGCATGCCATGGATGAACTTGCATACATGCCCACAATACACTCATATGTATAAAATAAAAATAAGCCAAAAAAAACAAAACTTCTGCTCTCAGCATGTATTGTAGAGTACATGGGGTTAGGTGGGGAGGTAGGAAAAAGTGTGAATGGGGGGTGAATTTGAACGGGAAGTGCATGAAATTTTAAAAGCTCAATTAAAAAGCCTCTGCTTATATATACCCAAATCTCTCAATTATCACCAAACTTTTCTAAATACTAAGCAAATTTGAAAACAAGGTATCAAGATAGCAATATAAAACAATTTTATATCATTGCAATTTTTCTTTGATCAGTTCTTTTTGAAATCTGAATTGTGCTGCGAATTAACAGGACAAGCCAGCGAACAGCGGGAAGTATTCAGAAGCGACTCTGCGACATGTTCTCAATAATTTTGCTGTAAATGTGCTGAGGTAAACCAGTTCTCCACAGGGGCCTCCCTATGCCACGTTAATAAGTCACTTACTAGACTTAGCACCTTAAAAACTTACTCCATGTAGCTTATTAATTCACCGTCGGGGAGAACCTGTCTGACTTTCCTGAGTGCATCAGACCAAGGTGCTTTCAAAAAGCTGAGGTGAGAGAGGTAAAACGATGCATCTCACAGCCCTGGTGACTCTGAATCAACTTTAGAAAACAAAATCCAAAAATATGCCTAGTTATCTCATAAATCACTGAGCACAGTGTTCTCAGTAAAAACTCAGGCTACATTCAGCAACTTAATAACCGGAGCCAGCAAAATAAACAGCAGAGTCTGGGTGAAATCCCTCGACAGAGGGCTTTTGATGAAGTGGCAGTGACCACCAATGCTAAGTGTCTGAAGTCTATGAAGTGTTCCTGAGTCATGCAGGAGAGCTGCTCAGTTGATGCAAGACAGCCCATCATGAGCACTCACACTGCAATGCAGTTGAACAAACTAGTTCATTAATTCAAATAGCTTTGCTTTGTATTTAGAAGATATTTAAAGCCAAGATAATTTCCTTTTTATTTTGCCTCCAAAATAAGAAAACAACTAATGGTGCAACAATTCTACAACCTCCGCCTAAATTTTATTCTATATTGATAGCATATAATGATAACTTCTCCTATCTGCCTGCTTACAGTAATCAGCTGACAACAGCTAAATTTCATGATTAAAATACAACTGAGTTAGAGAGATGGCTCAGTGGTTAAGAGTACTTCCTGATTTTGCAGAGGACCAGGTTCAACTCCCAGCACCCATATCAGCTCCCAATAGCCTGTAACTCCAGCATAATTAAAAATAAAAATACATCTTTGGGCTAGAAAGATGGCTCAGTGGTTAAGATCATTTACTGTTCTTGCAGAAGACCTGGGTTCAGTTCTCAGCACCCACATGGTGTCTAACACCCATTCTTAGCTCCAGTTCAAGAGAATATGGGCTCTGCAAGTGCCAGGCGTGCAAATGGTGCACATATATACATACTTACATAGGGAGAGGCAAAATACTCATACACATACAATAAAAATAAACAAGTACACAACTGAATATACACATTTATCTGGGTGGTTATATATAATATATAATTTTTTTACTGTTTATAAAAAACTCCTAAATCTCCTAAATCTGATCATAAACTTTAGCTTGTTGCTTCAGAAGCATTTATCTAAATGCTTACTAGTCACGTGTAATGGGTTGCAACATCTCTAAAACTGAACTTCCCTTCTAAACCAATTCTTTCTCCTGTTTCTGATCTCTAAATAGCTAAAGCTGAAGGTCATCACTCAGATGATGTATCTGAGGCATCCTTAGACCCATGACTTCAGCCTGTCCATAATCAGTCGACCTGCAGACTTGCACATTTTTCCAGGCTCTTTTCCCTTGTGTTCGTCTCTCTGTCCTGAGTCACTGCACAACCTGATTTACCCACCTCTCTTCCCTGATCTCTGCAGTGTCTTTTTACAATGGGATATTCATTTCTGCCTTTCAGCATCCATGAGTCACATGCTAATTCTTCTACCATGTCTATCTCCTCTTTCTCTCCATGTTTTTCCAGGGTTTTCTCAAGCTTGCCTTTACATGTAAACTTCGCTGACAAACTCATTTTTTTGTCCCCACTATGATTTTCTGGTCTTTTTTTTTTTTGCCTGCTTTTACCTTTTCATTTGTCTCTATTTAAATCCCACTATAATATCAAACTTCATCTTACATCTTACCAATACTGTGAAGAACCTGAAAACTAAAACCGGACATAATCATAAATAGTTATTTAAAAGTCATTCCTTGCATCAATTAAGAGCAAGTTAAACACCCATATTTAGTGGAAAAGTGTAATAAACTGCATTACAGCTGGACAGTGGCCTGTCATACGTCCATCACGCCATTTAGTGGAGGAATACCAAACGACATGTCAAAGTGTTGATGATTTTCATGTAGTGTACAAATAGTGTTAGGTGTTACAAGTTTCTTGGTATATTTGTACCACTTGACCCAGTAATATTTTAGGATAATAACCTAACCTACGGAAATGAACAAATGTGGACATAAAGGTATATTTACAATTATATTGTTTTCTGACTTGTTTGTAACAATAAAATACTAGGGGCTGCAAAGACAGTTCAGCAGTTAAGAGCACTGCCTACTCTTGTAGAGGACCCAGGTTCAGTTCCCAGCACCCACAAGGTGGTTAACAACTGTAACTCCAGTTCCAGGGGATCCAAGGCCCTCTTCTGGCCTCTGCAAGTACTGTATGACATGGGTTCACTTACATTCTTGCAGGCAAAAATAAAATAAAATAAATTAATTCAAAAAAATACAAGGAGAAATTCAGATGGCCAACAACAGAAATTTGAGGAAAATCCAGTGCATTTATACAATAAGATATTGCACAATTTTAATATCAGATTCTCATATATGTTTAAAAACAAAAGAAAATGTGATAGACACATAGATGTATATATGTAATACAATTACAATTTGATTGTCTAGAAGTGTCAGAGTGCAGATTAACATGTCATCAGGCATTACCACTGGCTGTGAAACTATTTCTAGATCTTGATTTTCCTTTTAAAATAAATGTCTTTGTTTCTACATTTCAAGCTTTTTTTGAGACAGGGTCTCCCTGTAGCCCCAGCTGTCCTGGAACTCACTATGTAGACCAAGCTGGCCTTGAACTCACAGAGATCCGCCTGCCTCTGCCTCCTGAGTGCTGGGATTAAAGGAGAGTGCCACCACGCCCAGCTTGCATTTCAAGTTTTAAAAACAGAAATATGAAAACCATAAATAAGCATATTTTATTGCTAGCATATAGGACCTATCTGAACATGATCCCTTGGAAAGTTTTCTTTAAATTATCCTTTCTGCTCAGTTTATCAATGTACCACGTAGTGATGTGAGGGTGCTTCCCCATTCCCACTCCCTGAACCTCTCTGATCGGCAGCAGGAAGAATTTTGACCAAGAGATTTTGCTTTGCTCTGTACGGTGCTTCAAACAACAGAGAAGAGGGGTATGTAGAGGGTTGGCCCAGGCTCCAGCTTTTGAATGCTTTCAGTCATTTATCTCTGCAGTATCTATGTAGGCAAAGGTCAAAGCAGGTTCAAGTCCAGTGACAGCTCAGGTGTAGTATAGCCTGCCTCCCTGGTAGAAGGGCCACAGCCACAGTGTGATGGTTCTATGAGCTCAGGGAAAGAGCTTATGCCTTTACCTTAGCACTGGTTAGAGCCTCTGATGTGTGAACACCAGACAGAAAGATAACAGATGGATAGATAGATGTTAGATAGATAACATGTAAATACACACACACACACACACACACACACACACACACACACCACTTCTGCTTCGAGGAAGGTGGGGAAGAAAATCGTTTGTACACCTTTCATTACTGAACTGTCTCATGATGTTAAGGTTTAGCATTGCTAGTGCAAACTTGGTGATGGGTGACAGCTCCAGGTCTTATCCATGTTTCATTCAGTACGTGACCCTGGCATTTCCTGAAAGCCTGTGGTTCTGACCACAGGAGGCAAAAAGACAGAATTGGGCCTTCTTTCCCAGATGAAGACATAAGAGCAAGTTTGAGATCCTGTGTAATTTTTCAGTATGTCTCTCCTCCAATAAAATGGATGGAATAATTGGCATTTAGGGCAATTGTCATTTCAAATGTTCATTGTAAAATCACTGTTATATATCCCCAAAACAGCACTAGCGAAAATACTAAACACATATATTTGCAAAAGTCTGAGGTAGTGTGTATAAATAAGGATAGGATGCTGTATATTGTGATTTATCCTGCTATAATGAAAGACAGTTTTTCTACACCAGGCATTTCATTTACTACTTTCAGGTTTGATGATAAGTTTTGGAAAATATAATAAGGTAAGAAATTATTTTTTTCTTGGTTGAATAAGCAAAACTAAAACCAAGGGCAGGTAGAGATCAGTCCCACAAAATAATTAAAACATGGAAAGCCATAAGAAAAGGAAATTAAACAGTGCAGAAACTGAGCTGGAGGAAGCACAGCACCACACGTACTTGACTTGCCCGTTCTCCGTGTAGGTGGTTCTGTAAAACCCCACCAGGGAGCCGTTCAGCCAGCCTGCGAACTCCATGGTCAGAACGTAGAAAGCAGCACCGTCAGTGGCAGGAAGGTCTTCTCCAGCCTGGACCACCACATATTCCTGTTGTTTGTACTCAAAGCACCGCACGATTGGCACCTGCTCCCCGGAGGGCCGCCTCAGCTCCGGCAGCCGAGTGATTTTGGTCTCCCTGATGTGCAGCCACAGGTAAGGTGTGGACTTGCTCACATTGATGAAGATGCTCACTTTGCCGGTGTACCTGTCCTCCTCCATCAGCGGTTTCACCTCCAGGTCGTAGTGAACCGGGTTGATGAAGTCGGGCAGCCTGAAGTCTCTCCACCCTCCAGTTTCATCGTCACTATCAGGGCAGACAGCCTGGTCCTGGGGGGTGCTGGCAGACGGAGGGAGCTGCGAAGGGGCCGGCTCTGCGGAATCACACGACCTGGTCAAGCCCACAGAAAGCCCCACTATTAACCCTACGGCCACCACCACAGCACAGATGATGGCCACATGCTTGGCTCTAATGCAGTATCTCTTGGAGCTCTCTTCCTCCGCAAAGTTCATTCTTGTTTCTGAAGTCAAAAGTTGGACATGAAAGGATGTTAACTTTAATTAGACGTCAGCAGACTTCCCTTTTCAATGGGAAGCAGTGCCCTGCTTGGCAGCCTGCCTTCCCTTCCCCACTCTTCTCCCTCCGGTGTTCTCTCCAATCCCTCACGTCCCCACCAGCCACTCCAGGATGGACGAGCTCTCAGAAGGGACGCCGACTTGAAGGAAGAGGACGGAATGTTGGCCCAGCTCCCCTTATAAACGGCGTCTCCCCACCCCTGCCCCTCCTGCGCTGGAGCGAGTTAAATATAAAACAGGGCCTGAGCTTATCGGCCAACCGGAGGAGGAGTTTCAGCCAAAGCTCTGTCAGCAACTTTCAGAGAGAAAGCGTTTGGCTAAGAGGTGTGCTTATGATAGAAAACTCAACCTTTGCCACCAGGTCTGTGGCTTCTTCCTGCCTTGTGCGCAGTCTGACTCGCTCAGCTTCTTGAATTTCACTATTGTATTAGGTCGCTTGCCAAAGAAGCTAAGTGTTTTCATTCTTTTCCCTCATATTATATAAGCATTCAAATTCTGTGCTTCACAGAAGTCGTCTCCTGGGGTCGGATGCTTGGAAGGGTTCCCAAATTGAAGGATCACTTAGGTAAATATTAGTTGCATTCATGGATTAACAAAGGAGAACCAGGGAAGTCCAAGGCCTGTCGAGGGATGCTGAACGGAAGACGGGCGGGGAGGGAGGGGGGGCGCGGGGAGACACGGACCCAGCATGGCTACAACACAAACTGGCCAATCAGGAAGGCTGCAAAAGGAAAATAAATAGAGTGAGGGGTTGGTTGGCTCGAAATGACAGGAAGAAAAGGAAGGCTCTCTGTCTCCAAGTGAAAGTAAGTTCTAGAGACTGGTGGAGTAAGTTAGGTTTGGAATGGTCTCCTGCAGAGAGGCCACTGGTAACAAACCTACTGTCAATGAATGGAGGGTGTGTGTGTGCAGGGTTACACCAGCCTCTGTATTTGTATCTTAGGTGCAAATACCAAGTTGACTCTCATGGCAGCAATGCAGACATAATTATAGAAGTTGAGACTCTTTTAAACATCAGGCACTATGTCAAGTACTTTATAGAAACTGACATTTAAATCTTCCCAACAGCCCTATGTAATTGGCAATATTTTGATGCCCATTTTAGGGAAGTTAAGACTGGTATTTAGAGATTGTGGTTGTTGAAGGTCACATAATGTAATAGCAGTGTTGGAATGTGAAGCCAGGTTGTCTTGAGTTTAAGATCTATATATTTACTACATTACATAGCTTCCATGTCTGAACAGGAGAAATAGTTAAGGTTAAATGGGTATGAAAAATGGCGTTTTCCAAGGAGTAAACCATAAATATCCATAGATGTCCTAGATGAGATAAAATTAGAATCTTCACAAGTTGGGGAGATGGCGCAGTCAGTAAAGTACTTGCATGTAAACACAAAGAACTGAGTTAGATTCCCAAAACCCACAATGAAAAAAGTCAAGTGTGAAGGCAAGGCATTTGCAGTGCAGTCACTGGGGAGCCAGAGGTAAGCAGATCCCTGGGACCTGCTGGCCACCCAGCCTAACCCACTCCGTGAGTTTAAGACCAATGAGAGACCTTGTCTGAAAAACCAAAGTGGACAGTTGCCTGAGGAGTGATAGCCAAGTCTGTCCTCTGGTCTGCACACACACACACACACACACACCACACACACCCCCACACCCATACCACACACCCCACACACACCACACACACACACACCACACACCCCACACACACCACACACACACATACCACACACACCACACACACACCACACACACACACATACCACACATCACATACACACCACACATACCACACATCACATACACACACACCACACACACCACACACACACCACACACACACACACACCACACACACACCACACATCACACACCACACACACACACATACCACACATCACACACACACACCACACACACACCACACACACACACACCACACACATACCACACGTCACACACACACACACCACACACACACACACACACACACACACACACACACACATTAGCATCTTCTCTACCTCCTCCATTTTTTCAAAGCCTCCAGAAACATGCTGTGAGTTTCCACGAGAGAACACACCATGGAGCAATTTCCTCATTTACTGATGAGAGACTTCAACTGGATTCCAGAGTGATCTCTCTCTCTCTCTCTCTCTCTCTCTCTCTCTCTCTCATGCTCTCTCTCTCTCCCTCCTGTTTTCTGTTAGGTATTACTTAAGGGACTTCCGTTCTTCCATGGAACACAGTCTGAGAAATGCTACTTTAAATCTTTCTAAATACAAACCTGACAGAGGAAGAGAAGAAACCCTTGAAAGGCAAAAATATCCCATTAAGCGCTAACATTTGTGGTGCTTTCTCATGAAATAATGCTGAAGAATGGAAGGGGAAAAGTGTTATATCTTCTAAATTATAGGTACATCTGTATTTATTAATTTTGCATTCCAAAACATTAAACTTTTCCAGGATCACAATTTTTTCTCATTTGATAAATTAGGTTTCTTCATTTTATCTCCTAAACTTCCCTCCTCCATTTTATTGAAAAGATCCTACGACATTTTACTAAATATTTGATGGGTCAAACATTTTGAAGTGTGTCTCAGTAACAAAAGACAAAATGTGGATCTAATTCACCTCAACATGTTGAAAGGAAAAATGAAAAGGAAAACCACTGAAAGATCATCCATATAATTATGTTGAACTGGATGCATTAAAAAAATTCTCAAATCAGCATGCAGCCAGCATGTGCCCCACACACATGTAAGGTCAACATGAGAGGACCACATCAGAGCTCCATACTTGATCCCATTGTAGCAAAGCTAGGTGTCCTTCCTCTCCCTGACAATAGAAGTCCGAGCCTGCAATAAGAGAGTTGTGAAGGAGCCTACCTCTTTCATGCAAGGATCTCCTCCTACAAGGAGACCAGTGAATCATCACCTGCCTATATGAAATAGTTTACACTGACTAATCTTATGTTGAATGACTCTATGTTCTGTGTGAGTGATCTGGAAAGGCCACCTCTGGTCAGTTTCTACTTATTAGGTCCAGGCCAGTGGAGTAAATGAAAGCAACACATTGTGGATCCTAGGCCATGCCTTCACTAGCTTTCAACAACGGAGATCGTCTTCTATTTGAGTACAAAGTCTAGGATCTGTTCTCTAGTGGACAATAAACATTTACTGATTGCTTATTGAATTAACACATGAACTAATTAAAAGGAGAAAGAGTGCCTTACAAGTATTCAGCTTGGGAAGAGAGCATGTAGTAATAGGCCAGAAATGCTGAGATAAATTAAAGATAAGATAAAATAAAAATTAGTTCAAATTCCAGGAAAAACTGGAGAGACTACCCAAGAGCTGAGAATCTTATCTGGTCTTGAGCAAGAGGGAGGCTTCTAGATAATTCCTTCTCACAGGCGTCACCTGAGGCCAGACATTCGCCATGGTATAGACACCTAGTGTGTGCCTCTTTCTGTCATTTGAAGCTTCAGGAGAAAGCTGTTCTGTTAGGACCAGGAATCACACATTCCACAAAGGCTCTAGTCTCCTGTGTACACGGGTGCCACTGCGTCACCTGAGCACTAGGACCACATCCAGAATTCCTGCCAGCAAAGAACAGCTGATCAGTTGGCCTCTGACATCAATCGGTTAATCTCAGCCAAACTCAAGGCTCGGGAAAATAAAGACAGGAAAACACATGGTAGCTTCACAATAGAAGGAGCATTCTGCACACTAGGCCATAGTTTTGGTAGGGAGCAGTCTCTCACCAAATTGCTACAGGGTCACTATTATCAAGGATATAAATCTTAAAATCCTTCAGGGTCAGTGTAGACATTTGGAACTGAATTTAGAGTTAAGAAGGTATCCTTGCATTTGATATGGCTGTGAGTCATCCACCAACACTGCAATGTTCATGACACCCTGTGTGGTCACCACACCCTTCCCACTCCTGATCCATTCTGCATCTTCTATCAAAACTTTATCGGAGAGTCACACATATTTTCATCATTTCTACCCCTCCCTCTCTCCCGCCAATCCCTCCCCATCCCATCTCAAATTCATGACCTTTTATTCTATAGTGTGTGTGCTATGTGTGTGTGTGTGTGTGTGTGTGTGTGTGTGTTGTGTATCTTGCTGAGTTCCATTAGTGTTCTGTATGTGCATGTGTTTAAGGGTAACTATTTAGGATTGGGGACTCATCCCTAAAGAAAATTAGTTCTCCTTCTTTTGACAGCCATTAACTACCTATAGCCTCTTCTAGGGCTAGGGCCTTATGAGATTTTCCTCCATCCACAGGGGCATGTGGGCAGGTGTGTTCTTTGAAGGTCTTCTGTGAGCAACCATATTGTTGAGAGCTCATGGGTGCAGCATCTCTGTCCTGTCTAGAAGACACTGTCTCCCCGCAGTGGTGGGTTCTTATCATCTTTCCACCCCCCCCATATGCTCCCTAAACCTTAGGTATAGGGGGAGGGGGGAAAGGAACTCCAGAGAGAGGGATAGCAGAACATAGGTGCTATGCAGAGAAAAAGGAGAGAAGTGGGGGTGGGGAGTTTAACTGGAGATGGGGGAGGGCAGATAATACAGAAGGAAAGGGATGGACAAGAAACAAGGGATAAGTTTGGAAACAAGGGATGAATGTTTGGAAAAGTCATAGGGAGATGTATTATTTTTTTGGCTTAGTTACACATACAGAGAGAGAACAGAGAGAGAGAGAGAGAGAGAGAGACACTTAATGGAGTTATCCTACACCATAGGATAATGCTTATCTTAGGAGCCATAGTTTATCTAATAAAATCCCTGGTGCCAGGCAAGGGGTACTTCCCTTGAAACTGTTGGTCAGTAGGGCCAAATGTAAGGTCAAATTTACTTCTGGGAGGCATCTTGTTCCCTCCTCCCACCGTCCTTACAACAACCCAAGGCAAGAATTCTCCAAAGCTGCCATTTGGAAAAGCCTAACAAGTTTATTGGGCTTACTAACTGAGCATGGTTACTTACAGAAGAGTCCCCCCCCCCCGCCATTTATGGCTGCATTAGAAAGTCCACACTCAAACATAGGTCCTATGACTTCCCAACAGCCACACAAAATGGCAAGAGAGGTGCCTCATGGTGTTCTCCACTTCTATATCCTTAGCCCCTCCCCTCATGCAGCTAAGGTCAACTGATTGGGTGGGAGGAATAACTGG